GCGGTGTGCGTTTGTGTTAGAGTTGCGTGCCCCACGTTGTGTGTGCACCTCATCGCCATGCGCCATCCAATACCGCAATTTTGGGCTCCACGCACGCGCAGTGTGGAACGAAGCAAAGCTAACGCAAACACACAGCGCTTGCGTTCGCACGTATACGCAATGCTAAAACTCACGACTGTTTCACTGGCTTCCAACGCCAACGAAACACGTGCTGCAGTGAAGAGAGGTGCAAGCAGGTAGGCGTTCCTTCGAACTGGCAAGGCTGAGATTGTCAAAACGACGGAGCATAAAAATAAAATAAATTGGCGGCGAATTTGGACGTTTTGCTGAATGTCAAAAGTAGCGAGTTCGATAGCAAAGTATACTTCACCCACAATTAATGTAATTTACATGGATTTCTCACATTAGCTATAATGTTTTAATTGATTTTAGACTATTTTTATTTTATTATTTAGTAATTAAAAATGCTGAAATTGGCACCAGTGATGATAATTAGCGCACTTTTTTTTGTCATGTGTGTTCACGCGTTTGAAATGAGATCATAAGCAACAAATTATATTAGAGCTTGAAAAATTACGTATCTGAATTTAAATATTATAATTTTTAATACAAATCGCGGCAATGTATGCCCCCAAGTAGCGCCAAGATCAAGTAGATACGCCATTTAACCATAATAGTCTTTTCAGAAAGGTATAATATAGTTTTCTTTTTAGCATGTGAAACACTTTGACATCGTTATCAAGATAGCCAAACAGTCAAACACTAACCATGTTGAATTAACCTGAGACTGGGGTAGAGAAGAAGCATCAAAACGTAGAAGGGACAGAATGAGTTACCAAATGATGTCGTCGTCAACACGACTGATGCTAATTTTGTAGCTGCTGTTGAGTTTATAGTTAATTGAGTTTTTGTTTATAAATCTGCATCCTTGTTTACATATTTGTACCAACTCCTACCATGGCTCCTTGGTGTTTCTCTACAATAATCATTAAAAATAAACCGAGTGAGTATTCCCAAATAAATAAATAATAAAAAAAAACTCAACTGAAATCCTCCTCTCTTCTGAAATAGGGCACTGATATTATACAATATGTTGAAAATGTAAAAATTCTTGATGTATTTTGCTTTCTTATAACGTGTCTGGGCACGAGCATATTAGGCAGGTTCGCACTCAACTATCTAGAATAGTGGGTGTGATGAATAAATATAAAAACATTTCACCCGAAAGTGTCAAAATTCAACTTTCAAAATCTCTCTTCTAAGCCATCTTATGCTACGCGCCTCCAGTGCGGGGTTCTATTGGTATAACAAAATTTTAACACTCCGGATATTAAGAAAAGAAGAAAAACTACGAGCCGTAGCAAACGTCCCTTTACCCCTCCCTCCCCCCCCCCCCCCCCCCGCCCCCAATCCTTGCCTTTCTTTTATAAATACTCCATACTTAATGTATAAAAAATGTATTCTTAGCGATTGATATTAAAATTCCAGACTTCCATGAAAAGAAAGTTCGAAACATTTCTGGCATTACTGACCCTCATTTACACGATTCAATTCGTCAAACCCGTCAGATACATTCATTGCATATACCACAACCACGAACAAACTTTGGACGTCAAAGAATTAAAGATGCACTTCCCGAGGTACTCAGTCATATCGCGTCACTAGAAATCAATGTAATGTCATTGAGCAAAAATGATATACCTAACTTTGTATAATACTTATTACTTAAACACATCTCACATTCTATATATTTGTTTGCTCTTTTGTTTTGTTGATTGATGTCGTTTTTGTATTTTTCTCTTATGTTGGGTGTTACTTGCCTTGTAGCAGTACCAAAGGCTGGTCAAGCTGCGAAAAGCTGTTCAATGTTTTAAAGTTTTCAATTGAAACCATATGTTTACATTAACAAACACAATAGTTGATTAACACATTTCAAAATAATCAACCAACTGATTGTGATTATCACCAAAATTACAATGTTCCTATCCCCATACACCCACCATGTCCGTGGTAAGTTTGTACAAAATAGGTGCATATCCACCTTTCCAAAAAACGCTCGTAGGCCGCCGCCATGTTGCTGATGCTGATCCGGCTGGTGCGACTCTCGCGCCCTCTATCAGCTAGAAATTTTCTGCCACTCTCTTGGACTGTGGAGATCCGCTCAGCACGGTTCTCTACCTATGTTTATGCGGTTTTGCATTCAACGTTTTCTGGCCCCTCTTGAAAGTTTACACTTAATTTTTTTTGTGCGTGCTGCGTACCCTTTCTTTCTGTGTTATCTTCCATCGTGAGAAATAAGGCTGATAAGTGCCTACCATTCAAGCATTTCGTCTCGACATTCACGGGAGACGAAGGAGGTGAAGGACGTCGAACGACCCTCGACGCGATTTTGCGAACATTGTTCTTCCCCCTCCCAGAGATAATCCGCGTAGAATCCTCAGTCATCCCCAAAAATAGTTGCCCGGGTTGGGGTGAGAAACGGGTCAGTCGCGTTCGTTTCTTTGCCTTGGTGCGGTTGTGAAAAAAGGAAGCTCTCCCCAAAACGTGCCCCAAAAGTCGACGACAGTCAAGATGTCGTCGACTGTGACTGTGTTATTTGAGATCTTTCTCAAATAAATTCTTTTCGGATAACGCTGCATCGTGTGGTACGTACGATATATTGTTCGAATGTTCCTGTCCATCGGTAAACACGTTATTTATGAGCGTGAAAAATGCATGCCTTCGGCTTTCTTCTGTTGCAATTTATTTTTGACAGCAAAGCACTTTGTCGTCTCACATGCGGCGAATCCCGCGGCGCCGCCAAAACTTGTCGTAAGAAAAAAACACAAATAACTAGAACTATACATTCCTGTCGCATTCGTTCTGTCGCGCGCGTACCCAACAAAAATAGTTTACAGTTTTATTTTTTTTTAAATGTCGCACAATGCTTTCTTAGGGACCTCGGGAAAATACATGTACCGCGAAACACAAAATATAGCGGGAAAAAACGAGAATTTAGCCGTCAGCAGCATTTGAAACCGCGCCTATTGAAATCACAGTTCACTCGGTTAGGGTTAGGAGGGACGCCGGTGAGAGTGTAGCCTCAAACTCAGTGACTGGGCTCGAAAACGGTTAGTTGCACCTAGGGTCGAGTGTTTTTTTGAAAGGTGTATACGGAGTGTTATTTTAGACTTTATAGAAATACTGTTAAAAAACAAAAGCCGTCAAAGCCTTACAAATGCTGTTTTGTTCATGGGTGTTATACGGCCAGTGGGCCGTATAACTCCCATGAAACGTATGCTGTGAGCGCTACGTGCTTAGCATAGTTATCAGAAGCGCCTTATCGATTTTTTTATTTCAATACCGTCAGGGGCAACGGCATTACATAGAAGAGTGGGTTGTAGTCAACAAAAAAAATATCCAGTGAAAAACTTAAAAGCAAACCACATATTAGTTATGAATAATATAAATGAGTAGCAGCAGTTTTAAACAAATCATCTGCCTGGATTATGGCGATGGGGGTAGGAGCGCGGTTCCAATCCAAAGAAGTTTTGGGAATGAATGATTGTTGAAATGTGTTCGTGCTACCTACTTTATGAGGATGATCAAGACGGGATGAAACATAGGAAGGTGATATGAGGAGACATAGACTGAGGAATGAGTTAGTGTAAAATATTTTATGAAAGAGACACACAGACGTTGACTGAGGAATGAGTTAGTGTGAAATATATTATGGAAGAGACACAAACCTTTCGTCGTGAGGCAAGACTAGACAAATAAAAGTTAGATTTTATAGAGGTGACACTTGCAGTGTATTGATAATTACTGAGGATAAAACAAGCGGAACAATTTTGAACAGCTTCTAGGGGGTAACCAAATTTAAAAGGCTCTGGTCCCGCATAAACGACGCGTATTCAAGCTTTGACCGTACAAGTGATTTATAAAAGAGTTAATTTCCAAAAGGAGGGAGCTAAAGCAAATTTACGTTTTAAATAGCCAAGCATGCGATTAGAATTACTAATAACGTAGCCAATATGTATTTTCCAGGAAAGATCAGATGTTATGTGTACGCCCAGGTACTTGCAAGAGGATACAGAAAGTAGAGGAACATTGTTAAGACAGTAGCAGGGAGAAACTGAATGATTACGTGACACTTTCATTACTTTGCACTCAGTTGTGTTAAGCTCCATATGCCAAGTTTCACACCAATGAGGAATAACGTTAATGTGTCTGGAGCTTGGTAACATCAGAATCCTCATTAATTTCACGGTGAATGACAAAATCATCTGCAAAAAGGTTAATTGAGAAAGAAGTGTTATTCGGCAGGTCATTATTGAAGATTAGAAATAATAAATTATCTGGCTCGGATGCTTGCTTTGAGCTTGCTCTTTTATTGAAGCTAATGTTGTACTATATGTTGTATGCATGATGTATGCACATTTCGCTTCAATCGCTGAAGGTTTTTTTTCCCGTGAGGACGCCGTCACGAAAAAGTATGACCGACGGTTCATATACAACTTCGCTGTATAAAACAGTTCGTAGAGTCTAAAAAGACACCCCGTATAGAGTATGCACATATTTTGTACAAAATTACGACGTGCATGGTGGGTGTATAGGGATAGTAACTTTGTAACTTTCCCTGTGCCTTTGCGCCCAAGATACACGCAGCTGGACAGCCATTACATTAACGGCTGCTTAGAGCCTTTCTTTATCGTGTTCATCCGTGCTGCAATGGAAGTGAACAGAGCATGCAAAGTGGCTTTACTCACTTTCCGCCTAGATCTCTGACGCTTGCCGAGACATGCGTTAAGGAAACTCTGACGCTAGCGTGCGTAACCATCCGTGGAGTCTTTAGAAAATTTCTGCTGTTCCAGATGACTTGATGCTCTTCCACTGCCCCCAAGGACGTGGTGTAATGTGCGTATATAAGCGGAGATGAAAATAACATTTCGCAGTTGATTCACTTGAGACCCCAGTTTTGCAGTAGCCTTTGAAGTCAAGCTCACTTTTGAAGAGTCACCATGAAGATTGCTTTGGTATGCAGCCTGGTGCTTGGCGCCGCTTTCGTTGTGAAAGCCTGCGACCTCTGCGGTAAGTAAATTTTTTTTTAGTTGTGTATACTTTTTAGGGAGTATTGAAATAAAGTAAAGGGCACAGGACGTCTTTTTTATTCAGATAGAAAAAATGGGGTAACTACATTTAGTGGTACGATATCGAGATAAAACAAAGAAAAAAAAACATTAAACATTTTTTTCTTGAATTTTCAATACTGCGACGGTATGTCCAGAGAAAAAAGGAGCTTTGCACTCTGTTTAAAATTTATAATAAAATAAAACATAGGTTTTTTATTTGGGGATTCTGCTTTGTTATTTGTCAATTGTTTCCGCAGTTAAGCAGACACAAGAAAATATTGAGAGTGTAACCTATCAGTTTTAATGGTAGTGAAGAGAAAATAAATCAACGTTCAGGATGTGGTAAATTGTAAAATTGGAGAATTGGCATAAGTTTGTCGCAAACTAAATTTTTATAATTAAATTAGGACGTACTAAAATACGTTCATGCAATAACTAAACGTTTTGCCCAGAAGAATAAAGATAAATAATTACTCTAGTGCTTGTAATAACTAATGTCGTTATTTTAAATATGTAAATTTGTATATTTTTGAAACAGTTCAACATAGAAAAGAATATCTTGATTTGTGGTACTGTTCCACTTAGACTTCATTTTAATACCTATATAACCTTGAATTATGGTACTTTAAAGGCTTCAGGATGTTTAAAAATGTCGCAGTTGAATTAAGAGAGGTAAACCTGATCAAGTCGGCATTTTTAAAATCACTCGTGCTAATAAATGCCCACATTCAATGTTTTGTCCTGGTATCTGGTGATGTACGGATACACTAAAGTGTGACCTAAGATCTAAGCATCACGTATTCTAGTTGCCAAACTTAAATTTCTTTACAAAAATAGAAGAAAAAAAAAAGAAAAAAGAAGAGCTATTCTAGAAGAGTCCACCACCATCGAACGAGTGAATGTTCATGAGTGTTTGGTCATCCACCGACAGAAATGCTATCCGGCAACCTAAAAAAACAAAAGAAAAATCTCTACGAAAACACGTATTGTTAGAAGTTTATGTAATCGTATACCAGCCCTGTATACCAGATAATAATTTGGTCCAGATCAACGTGCATTCTTCAAATTTACTTTACAGCGAAGGTGTATATGGCTAGGGTTATGTGCATTCTTGTTATCCGTGTGCAAACAATTTTTTCAGAAGTTGCATGTCAATGCGCCTTTCTGTGTGGAAATGTATATACGCCCCGTCACCTCGATGTGCATTTTGATAAGGAAAGACGTCGAAACGTGTGATAACGGAGATGCATTCGAGAACAATGGGCCTTCTTCCGCTCGAGTTGGGTGACGTCACTGCTTTACATATATGAAAGCAGTAGCGTTCTTATATGTAAAACATTATATGTATAGATTTAATTTTAGCAAAGAATCTCACCAAAGCTGTAATGGAACCCATAAGTGTATGTCATAGTGATCACAAAGCAATCATCCCTAATGTTTCAAAATGACGTATACTTTAAATAAACATTTGGTGAATTGCTTTTGTGTGCCTCTTGGTGAATCATTTGTGGTGGCGCTCTACAGCTTCGCTGGTCAACCACCATCCCAAAGTAGAATGGCTCACAATTATTTAAATTTTAATTAAAACAAATATGAGCGTGACACAGAGTTTTTCATTATTCAACAGCCATGGAGCCCGAGAAGATGGCTACTACCGTGACTTGCATGAGTGAAAAGATATCCAATGAGGTGAGCTATGAGAGTGCAGACTTGTTGTCAGGCTTTGCGGAGAGTAAGTCGTCTGCTTCTGGCGCAGGAGTTGCGGTGACGTCCGAACGACGCCGAGTTCTGATTGGTTTTGATTGAAAGGATAGGGGGGAGATCTCAATGCTAGATGCCTTGAGGTGTACCCACCATTTTTTTTTAAAAATCAGGCTGTAAGAGTTTGGCGTTCTGACATCATCGCAACTCCTGTGCAAGAAGCAGACGAACTTGCGCTCCGCATATCAAAAGAACAACCGTTAGATTACCTAATTCTTTTCCAGTCGGTTCCTCAGAAAGGCCGCCATCGAGCTTCATTCATCACACGCATTCATCTTATGCATATTTGTTTTTGGCATTTTAGACGAAATGTTGGATTTTGTAAAGCATACTCGTTGATACTATTTCGGGACTGCACACATTGTTGGTTTCCTCGAACGTTTTCTTTTCATGTTCGCTTTTGTTGGCCACAAAGCGGTATTTATTTATATATACCCGTTTTTCCCATCAAGTCCGTGCACAATCGACGCTACAATGCGCGAGTGTCAACCGAGCAGCATCAAGAAGAGTCGTCACGGCGCTCGGCGTCTTTCTGCGTTTGCAATCGCTGGCTGAACCAATCACGCGCACTGATTGGTTTAGCAAATCAGTGCGCAGTGATTGGATATCACTAAACCAATCACGCGCAGTGATCGGGGATCAAGAGCACAAAAAAAGACACGCACCCTGACGATGCGCAATTGACGCGGCTTGATCTGCGCCATCGAATCGTAGTGTCGCATCCACTCGTGCTTCATCTGAAACAATTTAAAAAAAAAATAATCACGATTTTTTTTGTTGAGGGGTTTGAAACTGCCGACAAACGTTTTTGCGGTGAATTTCGCAGGGCATATGCCGAATTTTGCGTGTTTGTACTGAATTAACTTATTTGTTTGCTTATTATTTTATCAATTTTAGCTGAAGGAGAAACTTATGGTGCTAAACAAGGACGGACTGTCGCTTCCGGAGTTCATCAAGAAGAACTGTGATGCGGGAACTGATTTTGTGAGTTGGTACCTTAATACGGAGTTCCCAACAACTTTGGTAGAAGGTAGAAAAGAAATTTCTATATTAAAAATTGGAAATTGGTTAAAACTGAGCTTACATCCATACATGTTGAAGAAGAATGGTGAGGCTTGGCCGTCTCACGATGGTTGAAGAATCGTAATACACTTTAGAAAAGCATGCGTTTGATACCGGTATTTGTATAAAAATTTGCCTTAAAGCAAAATTTTAAAACAGCGCAAAAGACGATGAACGAGAAGTAGAAGGACACAGACACAGCGCTTTGTCCGTGTACTCCTACTTCTCAGCCCTCGTCTGCTGCGCTGTTTTAAACTTTTAACCATGTCGCACCAACTAGCCCAAGCTTCGAGCTTAGCCAATAGCTTTAGAGGAGAACCCCGCACAAGTGCACTGGGCTAACCGAATGTCTATACCAGGCGATTTTACTGGTACATTAAGATTCAATCTATGCTCTTTTGGGGAAGAAAGAAGTTACAAAAAGTTGTTCGTCAGTTTAGGAGAGGTCTTATATGATAAAGATTAAAAACAAACTTGTTATTACTGTCATGTAAAAACGCCACTCTCGATTTATTTTATTTCTCTACACAGAAAGCAGTTTTGGAGAATACCCTGAGCGTGAGTACCATTCGTAATTTTATACTATTGTTTAATAAGCTTTGTGTTCCAACCTCATTTATGTGCGTATTGCAGTAATACAGATACTCACCCACCCCCAATACAGTTAAGTCACCTGACGAGATGTAGAAAAAATTAGTTCGATTCTAGAATTTTCTCGTCTCTACTTTGAGATGTTTTTCAGCATTCCGGTATCTTAAAATTGAAGTAGTTGCTTTTACACATCGCTAAACACAAACACACACACACACACACAAATAAAACGCATGACGTAAGCTTTGAAAAATTGGCAAGTAAAAAAATCCTCCTCGTTTTTAGTATTGCATCACTAGCGCTGTTGGATTTTTCCGCTCCGCCCGCCTCTTATCTATCTCACGACTTTGAGCGGTTCATTCATATGGGGATGCCAGCTTATCTCAAAAATGGGCTAGATGCGCTCCTGGAACAACTGTTACAGCCTCCAAAGATCTCGGATACAAAAAGGCGGTACTTTTCCGCCGCTCCTTTTCATGGGTGTAGTTTCACTTGACGCACGTGACGTATTTCCGGCTCAAAATGTTCTTTGAATCCCTGTTTTGGAACTTTGACTAACTGTACACGGTAACAAAAAACGGCGCAAAAGACAGGGACGAAAGGGGAACATATATACACGACTGGAGAAGCGCCAACTGAAAAGCCATATGCTTTTCAATTAGCAGAGACATGCCAGTGTCCGACTGCGGTTGCAGGAGTAGTCGGTGACGTAGGTGACGTAAGGTTTTCGTATAGCGGCTTTTATTCGGAATCCTGACGAGCCGGCGGTTGAGTAACTGGCTCGTTGGCGGTGAAAATGGCCGGCGCGCGAAGTCCGCGGGGCCTCTCAAGAGAGAAAATAAGAACAAGGTGAAGTTTACGCGACTAAATTATGTGTCTGGTTGTAGTCGTTGAGGGTTGCGATATGTGGAGCCATTTGTTACGCTTGCGTCTAGTACCATCACACATGCACACGCAGACACACGCACACACACGCGCAGCTCATGCACGCACACACACGCACGCGCGCACACACATACACCACGCTCACGAGCGATGCGCATGAGGAATCACAGCGACAACGGGGCAAATAGCGAAAAGGGTTTGCCAGAACGTTCACAAAGTATATACCGGTACTGAAACGGCCTTTCGTGAAAACCTCATCTACCTAGCTCATATAAATTGGGGTAGAACATAGCTCGACGGGCCAATACATAAACGCGAAGAGTAAAAAAAAAAAGGACAAAAAAAGAGACGCATATATTTTTATGTTAGGGTTGTCTGTATGCTATCTTGATGTGAAAGCATTCTACTTTGAGAGCGGTGATTTGCTGTAATCTTCTGCCGACCATGACTCGGAATCGTACCATCTTGTGACCATGTCGCATCTACAGTCACCGAAAGATAAAAAAACAAAAAACAAAAAAAAAACAACATAGGGCGGGGCCAATCCCGAACATCTCATTATCGTAACGCAGCCAATGATATTCCACCATTCGCCGATAGTAATGCGAAAGAACAAAGCACGAACGCAAAATGCCACGCCCGGCGTTTTTTAAACTGTCACTGTCTATACCGATGTGGTAATAAAGTGTAGAAAGTGTTTGTGAACCTTTGCACTATCTAATGATGTCGACGTTTTATTTAATCTTCTTTTAGGAGGAAGAGATGGGTTCAATGAAGAAGGCTTATGACGAGTGCACCGCCGCCTAGATGAAGTACTAACGACGGTTGGTACTAACCGCGTCATTCTGAAATACATATCGATGACGGGACTTAGTAAAAAAATTACGATATGACTGAATTTTTGAGTTTCTGAATAAACCTCTCAAGCCTATTACGGAGCACGCATTTTCTTTATTAGTTGTGACATTAGTTTTAGATTCGTTTCACGTAGTAAAATACTTACTACAATGCAATATTTCCAGGACATTCAATATCTGATCTATGCTTTCCATGGTTGAACTACGCCTTCCGGGCCATTGAGGGAGAGAAAGATTGAGTGAGAGAGAAATACTGTATTTACAAACCAGTGTTTTACATGTTTCTCTAAAACAAGAACGAAAGCTCGTTCCTCGCTCTAACACAATTTTGGAAAGAATTCCCGTCGGCGGTTCTCGAGAAACGCGGTCCCGTTCATTTCTAAGATATGGACGTGTCGTTACCTTAACGTTACATTTCGGCATCTCAGGAAAAAAATGTTGTGCCGGATAATTCGTACATTAAACAAAGCGAACCAGTGAAAATATGCGCATTGAAACTAGGTGCCGCCTCGACACTTGTTTGCTCCATAGTTCTTTGTTTTCGATTGGAGGTTGACATCGTCAATCGGAGGTTGACATAGTAAATAATCAAACAATCAAATTCTTACTAAATTTAAGTAAAATTTGTAAATAAAGAAAAAAAAAACACGTGTTTTTCGTCATTTTTTTTGAAGGTAGTGAGTTTTTGTTTCATTTCTACCGACGGAAAATGGCACGGCGTTCCTCCGCTCCTTCCAAAAGAAACGCGCTCAAGGAACGCGCTGTTCCTTGGGACGCCGCTCCCTACAACAGTGATACGAACCTTCTTCAGTGCGCCGATATTTCATTAACACGCTAGAGTCACTGAAAAGTTAAGACACGCAGGGCGTGGCCAGTCCCACGCATCGCATTATCGCTACCCGGCCGATGAGATTTCGGCATTCGCCGATGAGAACGCCCAAGAACCAATCACGAAGCGAGAAGTGTGAACGTAGTAGGCCATGCCCGGCGTTTCGTATACTGTCGGTGGCGACGTGGAGTGCAAGTTTGCTTCATTCTTACGTAGGGGTTGCACTGACGTCAGAGCGCCTAGCTCTGATAGGCTTCGATGGGAAATAGACGGAAGACCTCAATGCTTGTTGCCTTGCTGTCTACCCACTGTCCTTCTAAGCGGAGCCAATGAGAGCTCGGCATATTGACGTCACCGCGCAACCCCAGCTCAAGAAGCAGACAAAGAAGACATAGAGACAAAAAAAAAAGTTTTCTTAAGAAATTGCTTTACGAACCGTACACTCGTTAGATTGGCTCGATAAATGAAATAACAAAGAAAAAGAAAGATGGAAACGCGGTAGTCATTTTTGATCTCGACGATGTTTTATTAGGATCCGCAAACTTTTCTTTCTGCACCTATATTACAAAGCGCTTGTTACTTCTTTTTTTATGTCGTGCTTTTGATAATTTGATAATTATTGAAGAAACCATTTGTGCTTGATAATACTGAAGTAACCAAAATGTCATCGATGGGACGTTTTGAAAGGAATAATACAAAATTAAATAAATAGACTAATAATGTTCCCAAACGGGCAAGACAGTACATGGTCAAATGCATAGTCAGCATATGGTCAAATACATACTCAACATAAGGTGATTACATGATGAAATACATGGTCAGCGTTGTGTCCGTGTCTTTCCACTTTTCCTTCTGTGCTTTGCGCTGTTTCGATTCATATTCTTAATAAAACAACATTGTTCTTCAAGATCGGGTAGGACAATAGGGTGGACAAGAAAATGACTCTTTAATCTTGCAAGACTTGTATTGAGTGGTGTGCCTTCCCTATTTTAGTGGCCGCCCACAGTATACCGAAGCGGGAGGGGTGGGTGTTAAAGCAGTAGCATAGAACGCTTCGGACATTAGACGCCTAAAGAACGTGGGGTCGATCTACCCTTGTGTCCGTATGTGGATTATACGTTTTGGATGCAGGACAAAATGAAACTGAATTCTTCTACTTCTTGCCTTGAGGGTGATCCCCTTCTATTAATTTAACTCGTTAAACTGAGAATGTTTGCTTAATACCTTTTCTCGGTGTAGTACACATGCGTTAGGCTAACAACGGCTGCGTGTCATGTGGTTACGGTACACCTCTCTTGTGGTGTCACGAGGTTTACAATGATAAACCGTCAGCATGGTGACACCGTAAATAGCTGATGCTTTGATTCTCATCAGCACACCGTTCATGAGCGGTCTTAGAAATGTCTTTTTGAACCCGTTGTTACAGAATTCCATCGAATGAAAACTTGTGGTTTCAGGTACCACCTATAGTGGTGAGTAGTCTAGGCAGGAAACATTAGCCCAGATAATTTAGTCAAGATTACCGCTTTCGCAGGCGGGCGTAAAGACAAAATGATTCAGCCGCACGGGCGGAATTGGTTGCGTCCTCTCCCTACGTACACATCGCGACACTGTTAGCGCGAACAAGGCGTCGGCGGATTTTCGCATTTTACTTCTAGATAGCATGAGCGAACATGAAATTTTATTGCTTACATTATAGAACTAATGAGCCCTTTCTGTAGCAATAATAACTTGGATGACATCCCTTGGTTTCAAAGAGAAAAACTGAAAAAACCGGCGATCGCTTGTTCGCGCTAACAGTGTCGCGCTCTGTACATTCAAGTGCCCTCAACGCAACCCTGTGTTTGCTGATAACCGGAACGGTATTGCAAATTATTTTTGACTATAGCCAATGTGTTTAATTCAACTGACGAGCAAGGTGTCGTTCGTTGGAAAGTGAAGTGTACTGGCTGAGCATTCATAGGGGAGGTAAGCAAAGGCTGAGCAAGAGAAAGACTGAACGAAGGCTGAGCTCGTTGATCACTCCTGGAAAACCGGACGCACCCTTAATTTTGACAAGGCGACGACCATGGCGCGGGAACAGTGTGATATCGGGGGAAGTTTTTAATCTCGGTTTATTTGCCATGATGAATTGGCGTGCGATACCGACCGAAACCCTATATCATTCATGTACGATGGCCTAGTTTATAGGTAGAAACTGAATGACCGTCCTTCTCACTCGGCCAGTTTTTAGAAAACGTTCTTGGCATTTGTCCCCATCAAGTCGGCGAAACCTTTTCTCGATGATTTTTGTAGTATTTGGGAACAGTTTTACATAAGTAAAATACATCGAACACACGAAATACTACGTATATTAGCTGCATACTACATGAGACCATGTCTGCCTTCATTTGACTGATAGGAGGAGCGGAAATCTAAGCAGTCGCACATATTTTTAATCAGTTGCCGGGATTCCTCTAATGTCATTAAAGTTGTCATAGTACGTAAAATGGCGATGAGCTGGGCTCCTTGGTAAGATTTAAACATGGTTAAAATCAGCGAAAAAAGGTAGGAAACTCTAGAAGAATACAAAAGACAAGACAGATGCTGAACTCACAGCTGAATATTTCATCTAGAAGATATCAAAGAAGATGACATATATCAGACAGGCACGTACGTGCTCATGGTGCAAGAATTCAATAGCGCGAGGCGATGAGTTAAGCTTGTCGAAGCGTTTAAAAACAATACTTATTTTCATATAGTGCTACTGAAGGAAGTATCAGAAAAAAAACTTTCCAGAAACATTTACGAGGCGTTTATTATACAAGGTTTGGAGAAGCGCAGCGTGAGCTAACCTTAAGTAGCACTATCAAAAAAGGAAGTATCGTTTTTACACGCTTCGATAATGTTACTAGAGGGGGTCAGTTTGAAAACTAGATTCCCGGCGGGACATAATTTCGTAGAGCGCGCGAAACGTGGCGCTGTAGTCGCCCTAAGACCGATTCTTGGCGGTGTCTCGTGCTCGTTGTTGTACCTCGTGTTTTTGCTCCTGTCATCGGTGGCTCGTTGTAGGCTCGTAAGCGCTCCTTTCTGACGTCGTGAGATTTGAGTCGTTCGCCAATCAACAAGCAGGCATGACGACCTACTGAGCTCCCGCAAGTCGCAGCGGGTACGGCTTACAAGAGTCGAAAAGTGAAGAGAGGCATCACTTTACCGCTCCAAAGAATGCTGTGCAAAGCTCTGCGATTTGAAGTTTTAGTTTGACGACATTAATCGTTGTTACTCGTATGACATCAATGGGCAGACGGTTCTGATGGCCACAATCAAGTGGTAGTTAAAACAAATGTTGTTTAACATTTGCCCCAGAATCTCCCTCACATTTCTCGAAACCAACCACAGAGAGCAGCAAAAAAGTCCCCCACCGATCCAAGCGTTGCTGGGGCTCCAGTCAGTTCTATTAGCCCTGATTTGACAATTATATACGAACCCGAAGCAGACGATGATGAAAGCGACCAAAAAACCGAATAGACACGCGCACCGCGTTCCCGACATCTGTTCCAGAATTTCAAGAACACTGTCGAGCCCGTTAAAAAGTTATAACGCCCGATAATCTCATGATTTTCTACGAGCTTATCGAGAAACAAGGTGTAGTTTCCGTGACGAGGGCTGTCACATTCAAAAAGGATATCCCTCTGGCTGTCAGCATAGGAGGAAAGTTGGTGCCAGGGGCAAGCTATAGGAGTCAAGGTACGACACAGCGATGGCTATCAGTCCTCGAAGAATCCTGGGAGTTCTTGGGCTATGTTGACTCCCTTAAAGTGTGTGCTGGATGCACCTGTGAACTCTTTACAACGGCGATTTCTAAGAAAAGTAGATTTACAGCTCGAGATTAGTTGATCCTTCTAATACCCGTGCAAGCTAGCGGTGGTTTCGCAGCGGATCTGGCGGAGCCCGTACGCAAGTGCATCAGACGACTCGGGGAGAACCGATCTCACGGCGGCGGCACCGCCACTGTTCCGCCCGCTACCGCAGTGTCCCGCACTCCTCCGGTGAAAGCAGCTCAAACTCCCAAACTGACCCCTCTAGTAACGTTGGCTTCGATAAGCTGAAGTCATCCCCTCGTGCCCTTCAGTTCTTGCGCCACGAGCACGTGCCTGTCGATATATATTATCTTCCTTGTTTTTCTCTTCTGGATGAATTATTTTGTCTTGAGTTCAGCGTTTGTCATGTGTCCTGTTCGTTTCCGACCCCTGCCCGTTTCGATCTGGATGAGCATCGTACCGGCGTACGGTCGTGTATCACTACGGCGCGGCGCACCTTAAAGACCCCAGGCTAGCGGTTTTACTGCACTGGTCAAATTGCTTATCTACAGTGAATAACAATGTCGCCATGTTCTGGCAGCCTAACCTTCTGCTGTATAAACAACTAACAACAAATTTGACTCACTTTTTGATTTTTGTCCTGTCTCCTGTATTCTTCTACAGTTTCCTATTTTATTTCGCAGATTTTAACTATGTCATGGTATCTTTGTCGTCAGCTTAATTTTAAATGCAGTAACATCTCTTTAAGCACCCCCCCCCCTTTCAAATTCTAGTCTTTACATCTAAATACATGCGCTTATGTGGGAGTGTGAGGTACTTTCCTTTCTTATCGTGCGCATGCGCGGATCATAGAATAGTGAGGTGCACCTGCCGTTCTCCTCTCCTTATCGTGCTCCCACTGAAGGCGCCGCAGTCTTCACATTGGCATGGAGCGGACTGAAGAGGGGTAAACCTGAAGAAACGCGATGACATGCTGGGTAGGACCGTGCTCGATGTATCAGGGATGAAGATCGTGTGACGAAACAAGACATACCAATGAAAGAACGCACTTAGTTACCAGCTATAAGACTCGTCGCAAATTGATCAGGGAAATATAACCTTTATAGAAAACAAGCTACTATGCTGCTGCGTTTTGACGTAGTCTGCAACGAAGCACTAGAGAAAATGTATTCTGTAGAATTTCGTATGGTTCTATGGACTATAAAAAACAGATGTCTATGCTGACAGGTGTCAGTTGATACAAAGCATAAATTCATTAAATAAACGTTCACGTTCGTTAGCCTTAAATCTAGGAGCGAAGAACTTCAAAGATCAATTCGCGTTAGTTGTAGATAACATTGCTCTAAATATTTGCTTTAAGAAAATAAAGAAATGCTTTTTTAAAGAAATAAAATAGCCTTTAACAAAAAGATTGACACGTCTTCAGTGTAAGCGCAATGGTGGTTTTGGTAAAAAATGAGTTTTAAGGAACGATATAATGAGTATCGACGTCGAGGTTATACCTTCCAAAAATATTTGGATCAGACAGAAAATTATGTATATAAAAGAAGGCAACCCTGTTCACATCATGTTGATGGGAGGTTTAAAAGCATAGGCATAACACTCTTGTTTTTTCTTACTTTTTCATAACATCTTGTCAACAAAACAATGAACTTTAGCAGCTATTACCTCATCTCGCGAATGATGCTTACGGTAGGACTGTGTGAATGTTTGTCTATTGCTGCAACCACACCTTACTACGTCGTGCTCTTCTTCTTTGATGCCATAAATAAAAAAAAAAAAAGAAATACAATCCTTTCTCATTGGTTCGCCCGGCAGACACCCGTGCAGACAGCATGTTGTAAAAAGCATATCGTCGCCACAGCGTCTGTGTACCAGAGACATCACTACGCAGACATTCTCAGCCGGCCTATCCCTTTGTTCTTGGCAACGGAAATGCCTGTCCCACTCATAAAGATACAGACTCGCACGCCGTAAAGCCAGGGCCATACGGTCCGATCTCCAAGTTCGCTTATCGAGTTCCGGCCGTTGGCCTTAGCTCCGCGCTTTACAGGTATATAAACTCAGAAAGGAACTGGATGACTTTGTCTTGCTGTCCACGAAGAGTACGACGCAACACACGAGCGGCATGAATTCCCTAAGTGTCTGCTTGGTCCTGGTTCTCTTCGTCGTGGCGACATCAGCACGACAGAGCTTCTTATGCAGTGAGTATAGTTTTCACGGTCAAGATCCTTACGTGTGCAACAATCGAGGTTATGAAAAAAAAAAGTTGATAAATGGTGGGCCTCTTCTGGGAGACCCATGTGCGTTTGCGAATAACTATTATGTTATTCGTGTTAAATACTTTAGGTTAAAAATCGTAGTGCACTGGTTAGTTTTTCATTTATGGCGTGGATCAGTGTCACCGTGTCACAAAAGCGGACCGATCCCAAACTGTAAAACGGCTGAGTCTAGAGATTATTATTATTTTTTCTTAGATCCTTTGAATATTTTTTTAATCTTCAGTGGCCGAGGGACACACAAAGATCTGTGATTGAGAGTCATATCAACGGTGGCCTGCGCTCTTCGTCTTTACAGACAAATTTGATGAGCTGCTAGAACGGATGACAGTTTGTTGCAATACTGTTCGAGAAAAAAAAAGTGAATATTTATTAGCTTTTGAAAAAGCAAACACCTGCCATTGCAATGTCGCAAATATTTTGTGGAGACCGTCCCCAACTTCCCTTACTTTTTGATAAATGTTCTAGAATATCTATACCTCCAAGTACTGGATCGTGCCTGCAATAGAAAGTACGAGGTAAAGGTCGTCTTTACCTGGCGAATTTTGAAAGCGCACCCTGATGGCAGCAGAAACTGAACCAGAACAGCTCTGTTAGCGTGACTTGTCTTGGCAGAAAGACCTTGTAGCCAGTATACAAATGAGCGATAGAGAATTATTAATGTCTGCAAGGATTCCTTAAAAACACACTGGATTGACCTAGGGGTTATTGGCGTTTCTATAGCGCATGATTTCTCGCAAGCTGAACAGCCAACCAGCAAACGATTTATGAGCACGAAGATGAGCTAAACATACATCGAGCTAAGCTTAAGGTTTGGCGCTTTCGTATTTGCCGTAACCTCGTAGCCCCCGGAAAGCGCGCGCGTGTTTCTTGGCCATAGACCCCTTTTAAAAGTACGTGCCTTCTTGTAGTATAGTCTGATACAACTATCTGCTGACGCCATCTTTAGTGCATGCACCCTGAGTCTGTATTGGGCACGTGGACTGCGACAGGGTTCGGCGTGGACTCGGGACCAGTGAGACGCTTCATGCCGGAAGCGGTATCTAAAATATGTTGATAACTAATGTTGCTTCATGGGGTGTTTGTAAAAGGTATATCGGTGCCAGATTTTGGAACGAGTCATTTAATATTTTAGGTATGGACGACAAGGCGCTTCAGCAACAACTGGATTGCCACAGACAGTTTGCAAGGGTGGAGGTAAGTACTGGACGCGATAAAGTATTTCGTTTTAATTTTTTTAGCTTAATTGTGGACTAGACTAACTCTTTTGAAATGAACTCAGTTTCTAAATTTAAAAGGAGCAGTGTCGCATCGTTTTGCGTCGTCACGTTAGGGGCCAGAAAAAGATTCTTTTGAGTCATATCGGTGCGCTGCGATAAACCATCCTGCGTCACTGTAGGACTTCCCTTCCGAACCTTCAGAACCGGATTATGTGGCGGAATACTCGGTAAAATACAAAACGTTAAAATCTTATATTTTGCTTTGCTTTCGTTAGTTGAAGAGGAATTTCTGAATGCATACTTATTATACATTTAAAGAAAGAAATTACATTTGGGTAATGTTTTCGTAGTACGTCTTACGTACTTATTTCAACATTGTTCAGAGGCTCAAGTTTCAAAATATCCGAAAAACTCTCAAAACCATGCTGTTTATCTTATTCCGCATCTACACTTCACAATGGGATTCAGTAAATAAAAAAAACTAACTTAATTTTAATCTCTAATAATAAAAATATTAAACCTACACCTACATCATGGAAACTAAAGCTTTTAAGGCGGTTTAGACGGCCCGCAAACATCGGTTTCTCAAAATACGTCGCTGCAATTTCCTACAGATGTGCAAACACATGGTGAAAATTTACAGTATAAAAGCCAAAAAAAAAACTTACTTCGCTAAAAAAAAAAAAAAAAAAAAAAAAAAAAAACTCAGTCCTTTCATTTCGGTGAAAAAGGAAGAGCAGCGGAGTTCTAACTTCTGTTCTCGGTTGTGGCTTTCCAGGCGAGCGATCTGCTCCTTTTTCGCAAGGGAATCTGAAGCACTCAACGCAGTGGAACTTTAGCCGATAGCGGCTTCGCGGTGGTTGCGGAACCATTCGCGCTGCTGCGCACATCGCCGCTCGTTCTGCTCCCGCTCATCTTCCTCCAAAGAAAGGTTGGCGCCATCTATGAGCGACGGCGGCAACCAGGTGTCTGGTCGCCGCCGTCACTCATAAGTGACGGTAGCTGTCCAGAATTCGGTGTCATCATTTCTAATCCGGCGGAGATTATCTTGGGAAACTAGCCCTTAACAGCTCCGCTGTAAAAACTGTTCTGGCCATCTACACCGCCACTTCGCAGACGATGCCATAGCCTCCAAACTCCCGAAGCGCGTTCGTGAAGGCCAAGACAAAGGACGCATAGAGAGAAGTGCTGCCGACAGATGGCGTACTCCGCACCGAGGGAGCGGTGGCTGATTCGTTTTTTTTTTTTGCGATATCGTCTGCTATCCACCCGAATTGGCCGGCGCTCCTTCGACGCGACATACGCCCTCTGTCGTTAGCAATTCCCTCTACGCGTGCACCGGCTCCGAAGTGGCGGTGTAGATTGCCCTGAACTTCTTTCTCCTTTAATTAATAACAAGGCGAGTTAATTCTTTGATTTCTTTCAGTTTAAACTTCCACCACCTGCCTGCACCTTAGTAATAAATTGCATCGCGATACGTTGAGAAACCCATTTTATCGGGCCGTCTGAAGTGCCTCAGACGCGTTAGTTTACAGGCTATATATTAAAGCATTTGTTTACTTCAACTTGAGAAGTAACTAGCTGATAAGTCGTTTTTAGGTTGCGATTATTGAGATAAAATAGCCAACTATACTATATTCGTGATAGTGGGACTATCGACAAAATATAAAGGGCTAAACACCAATACCGTGTGCAGATATTTTATAATTCACATGTAGTTGCTTTAAGGCTTTTAATATAATATTTAAAATTTTGATCCTTCTCGTACGTCTGTTCTTGTCAGATGCGCAGGCAACTTGATCGAGTCAACGCGGAGTTGAAATGCAAAGACGACTTATGCAGCATTCGCTATCTTTGCCGTTTTGCAAACACGGTAAGTCGGGAGGCCGTCACCATGACACTTCCGCGAACAAAACGTACGCTACCTGCGCTACAACTTTAGTAACTTCTGTTTGTGAAATAGAAATAAAGCACATAGGAGCACACTAATTTATTTGTTTGACTTTATTTTACAAAAAAAAAAAAGCAAACTTGCAAGTAGAAAGGTAGGTCTAATAGTGGTGAATATTCTTAGCGCATTACTGGATATGACGGTAAGGCTTTAGTCATTTTAGTTGTGGTCGAATTGTAAAACACAGCACCTAGAAGAAGGACGTTACAAACGAACGTATTATTTTTTCCACTATTGAGATGTTTGAAGCCGAACAAAAGGAAGAATTAAAGATTGTTTCATCCTAGTCTAATTTCTCAATAGGCAAGAGCCAAAATCTATTGGAATTATGTAATGTTGATTGGTGAGCAGTAGTTTTGACACAAGCGGCTTCATCACACTAGAAATAGAGTTACAGAGTGCAAATATAAAAAAAAGTATATGAACATGCATATACGCGTTTCTCACATTTCTTCTCACATTTCTCGAATGACTTCTACAGTTTGTTTTTTATTAAAAAAATGTTTCTTTTTATTTACAGGAGGAAGCCCTGCGCCAGGTTTTCTCGGTGAGAATCAGGGCGCGTTTATCTATGTGATTTTATATAAACAAGTATTATTCAAATAATTGCTCTTGATAATTTTAGGTGCTTTAAGAATGTGTTTAAAATAATTGTGGCACGCTTATATTCCTTTTTGCTCGTTATTGGAAGTGGTGTGGTATTGTGCATTCGGCAAACGCAATATAAATATGAGTAAGTTTTAACTTAGTCTTCCACTGAATTTAGTCACCTTCCTAAAGCTACTGTAAGAAAGAAATGAGTGTCACTAGACACATTTCGTTTGTGAGTTGAAAAAGCTTTATGCTTATAAAATTAACAAACTAGGTCAGCTTCACCCCGTTATAAGGTGAACTCAGGTACTCCTGATTTGTGTCAGATTTTAACGCTCAACACCCAAGCAGAAAAATTTCATTTAGTGAGTATTGAAAAAATTAGATGAGTAAGAAGCCATTCGAAGCTCATAGAAATGTTCAAATATTGTGGAACGGATTGTGTATTCTCTTTATGTATTATGCCCGTACAAAAAAAGTAGAAACCAGAAATCACACTCACGCGTAATTTTTTTTTTGTTTTTGCGACGTCATATTTTAAATTTTTAGCGGTTTTATCGGTTGCATAAAATATGATGAAATGGGGATGTCTTTTTGTCGTTGATTGATTACATCATTTATAAATTTCACCGGGTAAGGTCGTTCCTCCAACAAACAACAATAATACCTTTTTTTTTAAATGACTGTTCTCTTGGCTACCTAGTTGTAGAAATGCTTTAAATATAGAGCTTGACTAAATATTTGTGGATACAACGTAATTTATTGCCCTTTCAGGTCACAATTGAATTCGAATAGAACTTAGTTTTACTCGAAGAAACTCGGAGAAAAAAACAATACTACGCAGAAAGTATCGAACGCAATTACACATTTTTGTTGAAAGAATAGCTCGAACGTTGCACACTTTGAAATAACCACGTTCGCGTGGCACCAGGGCAAGCGGCGAGGTAATCCTTCTAAAGTATAGAAATAACCAAGAAAATAATTCAATATATTTGTAGTGTTCGCAAAAGAAAGAAAAACATGACGGTGTACTGCTCCTTGGGTGGCGAATCTTTTGCATGTGCGAACGCTATTCTCGTCGAGCTTGGGTTCGCGCAGCTCTACTACGACCTCGAAATAACGGTCTAGGCTGCGATTCCCTGCTCAAGAGCTCCCATTCTACGTTTTGCCCCGCAGTTCAAATTGCTTCTAGGAGGCATTGCGATTATTTATTTATTAATCATCAAGGTACAAGACACATTGTACAGTATTAAATCTGATTCGCGTGCTGTTTAGCAAAGCACTTGAGAAAGCCAATCTTTCGAAACCACAGAATGAGCCCGGTGTATGCTCGTCATGCTCAGTGCAACCACACAGGGTGTATTATTTTTTTTAAAGATCTGAACATATTTTCAGTATTATCCTTCGCCGAGCTTCCTTTTAGATTGCAGCCGATTGGTTCTCGCAAGCCCATTGAGGGAAAGTAGTTGCGCCAGAATTCTGAGGCTGCAGAGGGGAGTGAACAAACAAAGAAAATTGTAATTGGATCACCTAAAGGTGCAGTTAGTAAGAGCGTGTCTTAGAAGCACAATGACAGTATTATAGTTGCGATTGAAGCGTGAAGTTGGATTCAAAAGTTTCAAGTACGGTGCATATAACATGACTCCGAATGGGTTAGTGTTAAAACTTGGGAAGCCAGCGTTATGAATGTGATCAAGGCAAGCTGAGTGATAACATGGTTCAAACTTTATTTGAGATTATGACTACGCTAGGCTTTCGCGTTTCACCGGGATTGACCCTTCCTGTGTTCCGCGACTGTCTTGAATATTCTATGTTTTAAAATAAAACTTAATTAATTTTTTATTGTTTTTACAGTGGTATCAGTTGAGTCAATTTCATCAGTTGGTCAATCGCTGCATACACGGAGTTCAAGCTGCTCGTCCAGGCTTCGGCAGATGGCGTGGATAATGCTTGCCGGCTGAAGTCAAGTTATGACTTAGGGTGAACATTTCTTTCACATCAAGTTAACATAACCCCATCCTGGGAAAGTAGAATATTCTTTAACATTGTCATAACCGGCAGTGAATGAAAGCTTGTAACTAATATTAGGTGCACTCTCAGGCAGTTGACAGTATTATAGTTGCGATCAATATATATATATATATATATATATATATATTGAAGAACACCAAGTATGACCTCCAGGTCGCCTATATTATCAGACCTATGCCTTCGCGGGCCTAATTATCTTCAGTGTCTAGGTTCACCAATAAAAGTATTGTCGTATCTATATTATATTCCTCATATGATAATTTTCTGCCATACTTTTATTTTTTGTGCGAGTCGTTCAATTTTAAAAAGAAAAATTAAAAAAAAAAACCGGTGACGGCCTGTTTTGCTAAGGGTGTCGTTCACTTTACGTTGTTGTGCCTTGGCGGCATGGTTATATTGAGGGTTATAGCTATTTTAAAACATATGTTTGTGATGAATTGCGTTAATTTACGCCTGCCCATAATTTCCAAGTTACGTTCTGTACTGCAGAATTGAATTATGAAATATATAGTGCATGTCTAATTAGTTAGTACTTTTAATTTATATAAAGTGGATGCATTTTTGCCTACTATAATAATGTAACTAGGGTTTCCATGAAGCAAAAACTGACATTGTAGTCCTGTTCGTTCTTTCATCATCAAGTATTTTAATTTCTTCTTTTACAGGTTGGACCAGAAAGCGCAGGAGAAAAATATACCGGCCGCGCAGGTTGTAACAATTATACAAGATTAATTCACGTATGAAATAAACTGGTGTGATTAATGACAAGGTTTGAATTTGTCAGATCTCGGTGTTCAAAAAAAAAAAAAAAAAAAAAGAAGCAATACTTAAAAATTGGCTAACAAAGAGAGCGTAGGAACACTGCTTTTCTTCTGTTGGTTTTGGTGTTGAATTATCACATTAAAGAAAGTAAAAAAAAATAAAATAAGTTTTCCGGTAACGTAGAATTTATATCGCGTTTTGGATCTTTGAAGTGGACGTATAAATCCCTTCTTAACGTATCACCATTACAATTCACCAACTGTTGCACCCGTAGGTATTTTTGTTAATATGTAAAATATGACCTCAATTAAGTAAAAAAATAGTTTTTGTTTTCGTTCGGCCGACCCAGTTAAGCAATGTTTGGCGAATTCACGCATAAAAATGTTGGTAGCTCTATCAGTCATGTGGCAAAAAACGTATTGAAAAAAAAAAATTCAATTTTTTTTGTTTTATTTTTTTAATTTTTTTTAAAATGAACTCAACAGATGCTCACCATGCTATTTTATTGATTTGCATGAGCTAGGCTACGCTTATGGAAAATATGTTTAAATGTATATTCTTACGCCTGTGAACTTATCGTCCGATATATTCACGAAAGATAAATTTAATTTTAACTTTATGCTAAATTTTATGGGATTATGTTAAAAAAATATTTACCCGGTCCCTTCAAAGAGCCATCGTGCCATCGAGTCCACCCAGTAATAAACAATAACGATGGAAGACCATAATACACTAATATTTCAGGTGGTAATAAATAGTAACGCATGTCTAAGAAAACACTCAAAAACCATTCCGTGGATACGGAGAAGTTTCAGTCACTTAAACAATTGGAAGGGGCTTTCCGAATAATTAAACAGGAGTTCGGGTTAAAAAATTTGATTTTATCCGAAGCATTGAACTGTGTATGAAACGAATGTTGAATAAAATCAAATGTTTGTCTGGCAAGCCTTATTTGCCTACATCATCGCTCTTTCGGACACACTCCTTCGCACATTTTATCCCCTTCAACAATATATCACGCGAAGGAAAAATCTTTACATGAACAGAGACCTCTTCAGAAATGTTTTATACGACTTTTTGAAGGAAGCACGCACTCGAGCTAGAGCATACAAAGCGGGGCTCTTGAAAACAGCGACATGCCGGTCTCAGATCCTAGTACATTTCCGGTGCCTTTGTTGGAGGCAGGGTGCCGGAGCATTTCTTTGCGATGGCCCAGAAGTCCTTCAGGGGTCGGGGCTGAAAGAACAAGGACGTAGCAGTCAATAAAGTACAGTGAGACTTCTTGCGCGGATGCCTCGCCAGTAGCAAAAATAAAGATACGGGTCTGAATACTTTCCCAAACTTTACTCTGTTGAGGTAAAGCAGGGTTGGCTTCGTTTACATTCCCCGAGGAAGCACAGCGAAGCAAGCGTGACATCTTGTCAGCAAAAATATCTTATTGTTTTTCTTTTACTTTTGTAAAGGCTGTGGTAAGCCTTGCGCCACTCGAGCTTTACTGAGACTTGAAATACTCGTTCTATTACGCAACTTGTGACACTAGTCTTACAGTCGTGTCACCGGACGTTTGAGAATCGCGGGGCGCGGCTTGTTACGCTTCTTGCTTAGTACCGTTGAAAATTGGGCGAGTTGTTTATGCATAGTTACGAAGAGAAGAACAGCGCCATAAGTACAGAGGGCAAAGAACGATGGGGGAACACACAGACCGAGCGCTGATTGCTTAGTGATTGCTTCTTCGGAAGACTTGTCGGGCCACGCCATGATCTCATTGGCTGCCGAGGGATAATTAAGAAGCCCGAGGGCTACGCGCAATTTTGCACTGATGGTGCAAAAACTCTATGCTTTGTTGGTTCGGCTGTATATTCAGAACACTTTGTGAAAGCTCAACGGCTTGGCTCTGTTGCCAGCATTTGTACTGCAGGGCTATTGGTGTGCTCATGGTTACTGAACACAGTAAAAGCTCGTTAATTCGAACCGCAAGGGGACGCCGCCTCAGTTCGAATTAACGAAAGTTCGAACTAACGAAAGTGAAGAACGACAGTCGCGACCTGCCTTTCTTTAACTACGACTGACTATGCGTGGAGAAACTGAGGGAGACGAGGGGCGCAGAGGGTGCCGTGATATCGGAGCGTCGGGGTTTGATTGAAAGGATAGTGGGTAGACGGAAAAGGCTAGCTGCCGTCGTCTCTAGCTACCGTCTCCCTTAATTGTGATTTGAGCGAAGGGTGTCTTCAGCTCCTCGGGCAATGTTCTTACGCTCAAACGTTTGATGCCGGTGCTCAGCGTTCGAACGCGTTTAAACAGTGAGTATATGAACAAAGGCAGCTTGCCTTTACGGCTACCCACAATCCTTCCAATCACAGCTCGGCGTTCTGACGTCGCTTAAATGACTGCCATCTCATCTGGGGTTCAGCGACATTATTCAATCTTGAGAAAATACTTTTATTACAAAAAAAGGTGTTGAGGTCTATCGGTGGCGTGCCGTTTGACTTTCATACAACTGGTCTGTTTACGGCTCTCCGCGTTGTTAATATATACAATTTATACAACTATAGACTTAGCAATACATTCAAATTAGAAAGCTACAGAAACACACGTTTTATTATGAATTTGGGACACATATTTGTAAAGGAACCGGTTTACTCCACTCGTCACGCAGAACATTGGGAAATGGTAGCGCGGAGCACAAATTACGGCTCTCAGGGGATTAGATATAGGCTGCCTAAATTGCTCAAGCAGTTTGATGCTAGTGATTTGGAACTGATTAGGATATCATTTAATCAACTTAGAGAATATTTTGTAAACCTAGATTGGTAAAATACCAGTGATCTGACGGTTTGTTTAATATTTGCAGGATTATTCAATCGTATTTTATTTGTGTGTTGTGTGCGTATATTATCCACCCGTTTTGTAATTTCGCATAAAGTAGCGTTTTTTACCTGTACCTCTGCTGTTGTGCCTATGTAGGGGGTTGAGGTCCTTGTCAAGCTGTATTTCACAGCTTTTTCCTTCGAGCTCCACCATCAATGTAGATGGAAATTAACGAATTATTATTATTAATAGAATTATCTCAACTCCTCCCCCTGTGTTTGGAGATTTGTGTTTGTCCTTTGTCCCTCTTGTTCTCCTTCTTCTCCAGGGATTATTTTCGTCGTTCTTGTCCAGCTCGCTTGCACCGTTGTATTCAATTGCATTATAATCCTCCCCTCCCTCAGTTTTTTTTTCTGTTTTGTATAATATCATTTTTTTACATTCTTAAAGCTTTCGCACTAAAGTACAAAAGAAAAAAGAAAGTTGCAAAATTGCAAAAGGGTGCAAACAAAAAACAACACGCAATTCATACCCTTCCAACAGGCATTTGTGTTTATGATTGATTGGTCTGCGCGTCTTAAAATGCTCTTGTAAAACAAAAGCAAAAAAAGAAAAAGAAAAAGGAAATAATGTTTTCAAAGTTTCTGCACTTTTTCTCAGGCGTCCTGCAACTATGGTGCCTGGAACGCGTCTCTGACATGTGTGCTTACCGCGTCTAAAAAGTAGTCGCTCCATTTCTAGCTCGATGACGTCATAAAAGTGTGATGGTGGCTATGTTCCAAATCTTACCCAAGTAACCTGTCTCCTACGTCAGCGGGTAATACCTCGGGACATCGCGAGTAAGCGATTCGCGTCTCGATTTTGGAACAGCCGGGATAATCACCTGGATACTAGGCGGATCGGCTTCGTCTTGGACCACGGTAAAAAGAAAACACAGGAGCGATGGCAGAAAATAGGAGACGATCCTTTTGATCATGGAGAAAGCACTCGAAGACGCGGTGTTTTTTGAGGTGGACCCACCAGCTTCCTTTACTTACCTTCCTTTTGAACTGTATATCGAGATCAAAATTAATTACTCCGTAGAGTTAGATATCAAGCAATTATTTTTATTAATCAGCGTGATCGCTGTAATTCTAGTCGAGGTGCCCTAAACGCATATATTCCACGCATTGTAATTTGCACCAACTACGTTTTGCAGAAATTGCTTCCACACGGTGTAGCGGTACAGCGCAGGGTGCTTTCTCAAGAGTGGTATGTAACTTACGTTCGCTTTGACGCGAATATGAGTACCATAAAATCTTCGAAGGCTTCAGTGCTTTATAGTCATTATCCTCTCATTACGCACACTTTGGGGGAAATAAAAATACTACCTCATCATTTACTGCGTTTGAACATCATCAGCCTTGAACGTGAGAATACGGTATTCCCTCCAACGCCGAGGACGAGGATGCGGAGAAGCTCCTATTTACGCTCGCACTCTGATAATAACAACACGTATACCTTCCCGGCGAGGGTGTGCCTTCTGGATGTAATGCAGTGAATTCCTGCGTTGAAAACAGCAGATCGCAATAACCACACATAAATCTGCACCTCATTCGTTGTCATTTGGAACGTCCGCCACCAAACCCAACGGAGCAAGCGAGCTTTGACGGCTGTCAGCGCAGAAAGCAGACGACGAACAGATCACGTGACGTATTTACTCGATTTGATCCCACGTTACCCCCCGATCGAGGAGGGTAGCGTGAGTAATTACTCCGGAGTAAACAACCCGCTTCTGGAACGTGAGTTCTGACGTCATCGAGTAAGCGTGAGTAAGTTTTGAAACGCCATGGTACGAAACCTTAACTCCGGAGTCGGATCGAGTAAATTTTGGAACACAGCCGGTGTCACCGATCGCGATCCCTGGGGTTTTCCATTAACAGCAGTGTGTGTGGCAGGTGCCTGTTCTGCTCCATGTCGCTCTCCATTTTGACAGTCCGCGGAAGTTTCGGCAGCCATGATTTGAGACGCCGCAACGACAGCGGCACTCATATTCGCTCGTGCTTCTCGCCAGCATTTCTCTGACCAACCGCCAGAATCACGACATCTGACAGTAGGACACTCCGGCTTGTGTGACGTCATTTGTTGCCACTTGGGGACCCCTTTTATTATATGGGCGGGATACAGGACGCTAAAACACACCAGTCGGAGACGCGCCCTAGGCACCATACTGATACGGCCACTGACAGCTAGAGAAACGTAAGGTGGGACCCATTATGCTCATTATTTTTGCGTTATGATTAGTTTTTTCATATTCTTATCAGCCGATGCCACCGTGTCATCGACTGCAGAGCGAAAATAAGATGCGAGGGGCTCGCAACCTCCCGCGTTTGTTAAGCTAAGCTGTCGCTGATTGTATATGCCGTGTTATCGGAGTAGTAGAACTCATGACTTTAAAGGTCCCTGTTTTTTTTCTTTTTCGCGTGACCGTTCACGCAAACAAAATGACTGCTCTAGCTACGTTCTCCATCCTTCGTCTTTGATATCCGGCTTAATGTTTGTATGATGAATATCGGCCCCCTTTTTAGGACAAAAATCTCCTTTCAAAGAGGGAATTAGAATGTTTGTAAGTGAAACGCGCGTCCTAATGACCTTAAAATGTCCTCTATAGTTCCGAGAGTATAGTTATGAAACCGGCTGCCTCTCTAGATTCTAGACAAGAGAGGCTAAAAGAGGATTTTGACGCCAAAAATATCATTCGGTTCAGATTTGGTCCAAGTTTAAGCTCCGTTTGGGAGCCTACGAAGTTAGAGAGGAATGTGTCTCAATCTTAATTGTGAAATTCAGTAGATACGATATGTTCTGAAAGCTCGGAAGAAAACGGGAGATATCTGAGTGAAGAATGTTTAATTGGGGTGCGTAAGTTTTTAAACAAGAAAAAGTTATTGGTATCGACATGTGGCATCGCAGTAAACGCGAGTTAGTTATAATTGCAATTGCTCCGGGATATATAAGCGAGGGCCTATATTATCTGGAGGACTTAAAAGCCCAAAAAACAAGAACTATGAAGAGACATATACTACATGGACTGGCACCAGCGGCAGTCCGTGATTTATGTTTTTTGTTTTTTGGTTGTTTTTTATGCGCTTTTAAGTCCTACAGATCATGAAGAAC